TGCGCGATGAATAGTAATCATACAAGAGGGAACGCCGTTAGATCCTGTCAAGGATAGAAGGAAAAGTCCTAAGAGCCAACTTTATATTATCCCGCTTGGTCTGGTAATGAAACGCAGCTGAGACGCACCCAAGCGCGGAGCTTGCCGTCAACATAAGGGCCCAAACGAAAGGCACCCAGCTGGAATCGTTAATCAGCAGCCGCCAGCCTCCAAAGAATAGGATGACACGCACGTTGAAATAAAGAACCCACCCGCTTCGTATACTCCTACTACAATGTAGCCCACTATCAAGCTCTCTAGTAGGGCCGAGACGACTATGCCGAGTAAAAACAATAGGAGCACAATGAGCGCGTATGTTGCCCTGGTACGGCGAACGTTGCGCAAGGGAAACAGAAGCCCGTCTGGGCGAGAGGGCGGAACGAGGGGTAAATTGAGGCTCGAGGACAATAGCAGCGGGTCCGGCGAACGATATGAGGTGATGGGTGTCATGGGTATCGGGGAAGAAGTGGTGTTGATCTGGCCAGTTGGCGTTCGAAGGTGCGTGACATCAGGTTCGATGTCGACAAAGGGATATCGCTTAGGGGGCGATATAATATTGAAGACTGCTAACGCCCCGCTGAAGATGAAGAGTGGCGCATAGAAAACGAGCATCCAATAAAACATAAATTTGAAGACATCTACACCAGTGTGATGAGCTCGCGTCGGGGGAAATACCAACTGGCTACATACCCCCGCGGTCTGAAAAATATATCCCGTCCGGATTCTCTGTGGGTCCATGCGGAATAAATTCAATGCTCAGGCTGTAGAGTGAGGGCCAGGTCGGCGAAGTTGTCGCCATACCGTCCACTGCCACTTGAGCCCGAGGGCTGGTCGCGGACTGATGAAAATTAACATCATCTAGTATAGCTAGATATGGAATCAGTGCAAGGCGTACCAGTTGATTTCCTGACAGGCTGGCACTGGCACTGGCAGTGGTTAGAGGCCAGTGTACAGCGCTGGCTGTCCCCGCGAGGACTCCGCGGTGATGGACAGACCGGTCCGAAATAGACGCGGAAGCTTTCCGAACGCGGTGCGACAGACGTTTCAGGCACAGGCCAACCACAGCAAGGACCACAGTCCTGGAAGCACAAGTCGTAAGTTTATAACGAGAGCTGCATGTGATATCAGACTGTTGTTATTGATGCGTTATTAACGGTGTACGTAGTTACATTAAAGGGAGGGACAAATACAGAAAGCGACGAGGTATCATCAAAGGACAAGAACAACAGGACCTCGTATCACGGAGGATATTCGGCAAGGCGACCTCTAAATCGAGGCTCTTCGCTATGAAACTCGCAGGGAGAGTTACCGATTGCGATGCCTTCTCCAGCTGAGATTCGGCGGAGGATCGTACCCGGTTCCTCATCATCCTCATCATCGTCTTCAAGCCTGGGTTCACCATCACGGAGACGAATGCGTACGAAGTAGCTGCCCTCCTCGTCGTCAATGAGATGCCAGTTGGCGCAGACACCACCGCCCGGTGGGTGCGGAAAAAAATCGTTGTCATCTACACCGTCTTCCAAGAGAAATGGATGACGGAGAGCCTGGAGAGGAGTGATACGCTTCACTGACTCTGGGTGCATGGTCTTCTCCAGTAAATCAAGCGCATTCTCGACATCATGCTCCCATTCGTTGCAATTGGAGCTTGGAGACGTAGGGCTATGGCCGAAAGCATCGGAGGAAGGAGGAGATGTCTTACGCGAGGATGGAGATGATGGAGGTGGTGGATGGTCGTGGGAGATGCAATAGGGAAAGAAGCGTGGATCCGGCGGACGCGGAATCCGAAGATTAGGGTTGAGCTTTTCGACGAACTGACTCCACACCACACCCTCATCGGCTAGACTTGGGATATTTGTTGAGAAAGTACGACCTGAACATTATTTTAAACCGTAAGGTCGATCGGAGCGTAAAGCAGAGCGTACTGTGGAGCGTCGCCACTTTTTCCATCTTTCGGCGTCCAATGATGCTAGCAATTTCCATGAGAGCCTCAACATCATCCCCCGAGTTCATTAGTGGAAATTTGTTCGTCAGAAAAAAGCATAGGATCGTGCCAGCGGCCCAGACGTCGATCGCTACAGAGATATTAGGGGCCTTCATTATAGATGAGGAAAGGGATGTACCGCCTGTCTGGTCTCCGCATTTCAAAAGAACTTCTGGGGCACGAAACCCCCTCGTTCCTGCACGATTGGCGCGCGAATGAGGCCTGAAATAAAGAGTTAGCTAACTGCGCTCTTAACGGGCCTACAGGACGAACCGAGGGTCCTTGTCAAGATAGCCGACTCTCTCGGACTTGAAAGTAGTCCGCGCCCGCGCCTCCCTCTGCTTCTGGCGAATTAGCTCGGCATCCATCTCCTCTTTAGATCGTATGCGCCCATGGGGATGAAGCTTTGAAGCCGGAGTGTGATAGCAAAGCCCCAGTGTCGAGGCACGCTCAACTCTCTGCGTCGAACAGGTCAATACATAGCGCAAAAGAAAGAGCGGATTGTCTTACACAGGCCAAGCCAAAGTCACACAGAGTGCCTACACCCATCCGCGGGTCAAAAAGAAAATTCGCAGGTTTGACGTCGCGGTGAATAATGCAGCGCGCATGGATGTCACGGAGAGCGCGGAACAGACACCTAAAGTATGCTTTTATGCCCTCCATTGGCAAGAATCTGAAGAATTCCTGCATATACATACAGCTGAGATTTAAGAACGGGCCTGGCAGACAAGCGCTGACATACTCTGAAGTCATCATTGCGCTGATAAGGCAGAACGAGCACAATCTGGTCTCTCTCTCTGAATGCGGTGATGATTTGAGAGACGTATCTTGCCCCGCGACACGTCTCCATTATCGAGATTTCATTCCGGATGCGGTCTGGTGCAGAGGTGACATATATGCGTTTCAGCGCGACAAAAACCCTGCGGGACATCCGGTTAGACTGTCTCCAGAGAGAGTTATCCCATTTGGTTTGATGGTGGAGGTCGACAGCCTTGAAGACGGTGGAGAAAGTCCCGGTGCCCAGGCGATCGACAAGGCGGTAGTCGTTGGTCAGGCTAGGCACGGCACGCTCAAGACTGAGCATCTGGGCTTCAATTTCTATCCGCTCCTCCTCTGGTCTGGCGTTTAGGGTATACTCCTCTTCATCGTCAGAGAACTCTTCCATCGCCTCTTCGTCGGATTCCATGTCCAGATCATTACCCTCACTTTCTCCAATGTTGACGGCGCCATCTGCCACACCGTGCATCACCTCTTGCTCTTCCTTCTCATTCATCTGTTCGTCCAGGTCAATGATACCGTCGGGATTTTCGAGATAGAATGCTGCGAGCGGGTTCTTGATCAGGGATGTCCTCTGTTTACGGAGATCGTGCACATGACGTTGATACGCGTGTGCCGTACCGCTTTCAAAATCGTCAGAGTCCCTCATACCACCCCTTTCTCTGGTGTAGATGTCCTTGTAGTGTACGTTGCCCGGATCTTCCGAACCGACGTCAAGCGGGTTTGACGACGAGTGAGCGAAGCTAACGAGTGCCGTCATAGCAGCGGTGCCAATGAATCGTCGCGCAAAAGAGTGCTGTAAGTGACCAAGAAGCAGGGGAGTCCGCAGTCAAATGAAGGGCAACTGCCAAAGCATGCAGAGAGAACGCGTGCGCGTACTGTAAGCAGGATCGCGACGCGTCTCGCTCAGGTCCGGCGGGGATATCAACCGTGTCAGTCATGTGGTGTACTCGCACGGTCACGAGCCGCCCAAGTCGTTCCCCGTGTGGTGCAAGCGGTTAGCTGACTATCCCGGATCGGCATTGTTTGCATCTCTCTATACAAAGAAACACCTGTTCGGAAACCCTCAAAGCACTGAGCTACCTCCTCGAGGTCGTACTTCAGCTGTCTGTCCCACTTCAACACTGGAAGCACGATAGTAGCTTCCATCATGATCCCACCACTGGCAGGGCCAGCGGCTCCTCCTTTTGGTCCCTGCACGCGTCCAGCGAACTGTTTCATTTGAACCTTACAGCCTACTGACTCAATTTAAGACAATGTGCGGCTACCGTACTCGATTTCCATGACTTTGGAGTTCTCATGGTGATCCACGTCGTACAATGCATATCTTAGCATCTGTGGCGTATTTCAGTCAGCGGTATAACCGCATCGCATCGCATGAGACATAGTGCATAGTCACTGGGACCCAGAATTTCTACAAAGACAATCCGGTAGCGGATCTAAAACGGCCTTCCAGCAGTCAATATGCCGTGGCTAGGGCTCCACGGTCGCCTTCGTCCTTGCGCCAAGCGTGATCCTTGTTTTCAAGTTGCCTTATCTCTTTGTCTTGCCTGTATGACGATAGTCCACTACAACAGTCTGGGCCCTGTATTGCAAGCGGCAGGCTAGGGTTTCGTGTGCCCGCGTTACATATGTGGTTATGGCCGTCGTCCCAAACGGCGAATGTCGAATAGCCTCATGACGCGGTCACGATTGTGCATCTGCCCGGCGACTCAAGGAAATCGGTGTAGACAAACGGCGGTTCGTTATAACCTAGTTCTGCTGTACGCTCGACTGACGTCGCAATACCTGGATGCTGGATTATATCAAACTCGGCGGGTAGCCTGAACTCAAGACCACTCAGAAGAGTCGAGTTCCACAACGTGAAATCCCTAAAACATCGACTGGAGCTGATACGCTTGCAGCTCTCTCGTCTCACCAAGGTGACCGCATGCGACCGTGCAAACTATGCGCTGGTATAGACAGCGGGATGTCTGCATAGTTCGAACTAAAGTTTAAGCAGAGCTTCAAGCTGATTGGTCTGTCTTAAGCTATACAGATACCTGGATGCCAATGATGGGTTGCCTCTTGTCTAATGCGCATGCTTCCAGGCAACAGTACAGCGGAAAGCTGTGATGGAAACACGAGACTCATGCGTGCTCAAGGCGCTCGGGCATTGAAACCTTTCAAGAGACAATCAACTTGTGCAGGCGGAATGCATTGCGGGCACCTGGCGCAATGGTAGCGCGTTTGGCTTCGACCGCCTTCTGTCCCCTTGCGGACACGTGACCAAAAGGCTGCAGGTTCGAGTCCTGCGGTGCTCAGATTTTTCTCCCATCAAAGGTCCAGGCTTCTTCAACGGCCAACGTATCTTGCGAAGCTTTCGCAGAAGGATACGAGAAATCTGTACCTGTCTGTAGTTCGTCTTCCCACTACTCTTTCTTGGAGGTCCGAGCGCTCAAAGCCGTGTTCTCACCTGTCAGTTCAACGACCTAGGAACCGACGCTATCCCTGCTGGCAATGTACGAGTCACGGTAGCCTTCCGAGTCAGTGCTACAGACTGCGCGGCGAATGCTCCGATCAAGCCTCGTACTGGGAGTCCATGGAATCTGTGGGGCATGCTTTGGGTCCCAATGCTTTGTGAACTGATTGGATTACAGAATTCACTGGCAGCGTCAAACCGTCACCGGACGATGTACAGTAATGCTGTAGCTACCCGTGCCGCGTAATCTCCAGCCAAACAACCTTAACAGTCATGCGACCGCATAGTCGGCACCGTCGACAGCGCAGTTCGCGGCGCAGATTACGTTGGTGCAGAGACTGGCGTCCCAAGTGTTCCCGGGGTAGTAGTTCGTCGAGCCGTCGGCCTGTGCCAAATTTCAGCTCATTCCCTTCTCGCTCAAAAAACGATTGTGAACATTGTGCGTCCAACGCCACGGAATGCTGCGCGATCGTGCAGGACCCGCCGGTCATGCATGCACTGATGTTGGGCTTTGTGCCAGTGTGTCTCCGCCAGGTTCGTGCCGATCTGTTGGGCATGCGCGATGGCAAACAAGGAGAATACGAGGAATGGGGGAGAGTGTATAATCGTCGGTGGACAGAGAAGTGAACCGACGCCAGAAGGCCGATGAGGATGATCCTTCGAACAATGAGATGTTTATACGACCAGCTGAGCTCTGGAAACGGTGGGCTTGGTCTGCTCCGTACACACACACTTGTTAAGAAAATCAGAGCGGCGAGTCTCCTCGACGTTTTACTACCTACATGCTTGAATTTTCCGCATCGTTTCGCCGCTGACGGGCCGAGCTACATCGCATGCTTTGAACTAGATCAAACTGAGTTTCACGCACCTACAAGACGTCTGGAGTGGGCCGTCAAGCGGACCGCTACTACGCAAGCCGCGACAACATTCGAATCATCCGAAGTAAACTGCCGTGCGATCTATACATAGGCTGCCGCTTCACACATACGTCGGGACAAGCCCTGGAATAGACGCACCCGAGCACATCCGTTGAATCAAGATCCGTTTTTCGTCTATGACGCTTGGATCGCTTGTTTGTTTGTTTGTTTGTATATAATTCACTGTCCCGGGGGGAGTGTTGGATCGCTTGAGTCACGGGCTTTTTACCCTTTCGCACGTAGAGATGGAGATGTGCGTGGAGTTGGGGTGCCCTGGGAGGGTGCACAATCATTCGACACTCAACCGAGCTAGGTTTGTCGACAGGTATCCGAACTTTTCTCGTACCACGGCGAGTCCAAAGTCGCAAAGAATCGGGAAAGGCGCACAGTATTGAACAAGCAAAAGAAAATCACGCCCTAGAGCCTGTCTTGCCGGGCGCTGTCGGTAAAACAACTGGGTAGACGTTACAGCATTCCCTCGCGGCGATAGACTCTCGGAGGGAAAGGTAGCATGTATCACAGCTCGGTCCCCGAGCTATACGTGCACCGGATGACCGCAGGCTCTACTCTTTCGATTATGGTAAGACGGAGAATATACTGTGTTCATATGTGCAGTCCAAGAGATTCCGATCTCCCGTACGGAGTCGCCGATTGCGAAAATGGGTACAACTGTACAAGGCAAGGACGGGAGGGGCGGTCTGCATCCTGGTCCGCACTAGGTCTTGAAAGGGTACGCATGAGAACCAGCTGAGAAAACAACCAGCGGGCCTTGGGTGAGCCGGAGATACCGCAGACCGGTAGTACAGTATCGAGCCCTGAGTCTTAGAGACCTTAGCAGACGGCTTTTTGGTGGCTCGAAGGCAAGGTTAAGATTTGCTTGAACGTATGGCTCGTCTGCAAGGTAAGCCTAGCATGTTCGAGTGAAGATTTCAAGGCTAGATGCCGCAGTACTCGGAGCTCGGAAGAAGATCGACACAAGCCCAGAAGGGTATGTAATTGTTGACGGCCGCGGGCGTGGATCTTTGCCAGCTGGTGCCTAGCTCGGGCCACACCGGGCCTGGGATCCGGAAACATCGTCGTCGAGTAGCCACTGCATCGAACGGGCCTCCTACACACCTGTTTTCAGCGGGAGGGAACCTCATCGCATTATATCTTGAAAGGAAACTTGTGGTCCATGCTCAGCCTCGTGCACCCAAGGGGGATGAACGTAGCAATTAGCAGTAATACAGCAAAGTATAGGTATATATGCAAACAAATAAAGGACACACCACGACCTCAAACCAAAGACCTATAACGCCTCGACCATCCGCGGCTCCCTCCCAGAAGGCAGTGCATCAGAAGCTTCCTTCACATCTTCTGTTGGTCGCGGAGCATCGAGTTCTTCGACGCTTGTGACGCTGGTCCCTCGACTCTCGCCACTCGACGTCTCGCTCCCCTCGCTTCCACTGGCACAACCTACCCCATTACCCGATCGTCCTGCCCTGGTGCTCCTCAAAATCCTCCCGCATCCCGTTTTCGTTGCATCATCTTCGGGTAAAAGCACGCGCTCATAGTAGAGCATGAACGCACCGCTCCCCTCCGCAAGAGCAGTCTCGACCCCCACCTCGCTCACATTATCATCGCTGATCCTTAACCAGCCTCTTCCTACCCTGCTCCCTTCCCCAACGAACCTGATCTCTCCCGTTTCGTCCACACGCTCAACCCTGGGCGGCTTTATAGGCGGCTTCCGTCGGAACGCGACGTAGTGACCAAATTGGTGTGTGCCATAGTGACACACAACCGCTACGAGCCGATACAGAACTGGTGGAGTGGGATTGGACGGCGAAGGAGAAGAGATGGGCGCGTCCGGTCGTGTTGAGAGGGTGGCACCGGTGGTGTACGGTGAGAGGTCGAGGAGCTCGGTAAAGGCAACGCGGGCAGGATTCTTGGAAGCGTAGGCACCGTAAGCGAGAGAGCGGTTGAGGTGGAGAGCGAGAACGCGCGGTGGCTGGTTGAGATGATGAAGTCGACAGAACAGAAGAACCCAGGAAGGAAAGCGTACACGAGCAATCATGGCCTGCTTCGTCGACGCACGGCTGAACACCCTCGTAACCTTCAGCCCCTTGATCTCTTCCTCGACACGTCCCTCCTTCAACGCAATCTCTACCCGCCCTTTCAACTTCCTCGCCTCGCGCAAAGTTCTCTTCCGACTGTTGCTCGGGGTTGGATCTGCGGCAAGTCGTTCGACGTCTTCCGTCAATCGTGTGAGCGTTGCGGACATCGAGCAGCGGCGGCAGATACAGTCCGTGAGGACTTCGAGTTTTGTGTATTCGGCAAGGCACTCTTCAAGGCGGCATGCCGTCTACGGGCGGGAACACATAAAGACGACAAAACATACGATGAGAAAGGACGCACTGTGCGCGGGAGAGGCAGCTGCCAGCTGTCGAAGGAGAAGTGCATAACAGCCTCAGTGTATCCGCATTCGAAGCAGCTTCTCCGATTTGCTGTCAGTCCATCGAACACCGCCCTCTGTGCTAGCTTCACAACCTCGAGCCTTTCCTCCCCCTCATCCGCCGTCAATTCGAGCACTGCACCGAGTCCTCGCTCATGCATACGCTCGGTATCGACGGCCGCGGCTTCTTTCTTAACGAGTTCAGAAACGAGCTGAAAGAGTTCTTGGGCATCTTGATGTTCGCGGGAGGAGAAGAGGGGGGAGCGCTTGCCGGGCTCCGGGTGGGAGAGGACGTCGATTATTGAGTGAGGGCGAATGGCACGGGAATAGGATTGGGGCTCGTTGAGATCTAATAAGCCGTAAGTATGGTATTTAGCGTGTCGTCAGTGAGCACCAGTCAACACGTCCGTCTACGTCCTCGTACTACGGGACCGAGCCAAAAAGAGTGGTCGATGCAATGTCAGACTCACTTTTCAAGAGGTCACGTAAAACATCCGTCACGGGAGAGGGGACATCCAACTGCTCAGCCTTTGCATGCAGCTCGTCCAGATAAGGCAATAGTGCAGAGAGCGAAGCGAACGCTTGCAGAGTCGAGTTCATGAAGCAATACGTGCCCGAAATGTTGACGAGACCCGTGTAGTACCCATTCTTCGAGCTTTCCGGCGCATCAGGCTCTTAAAGTGGCAGATGAGGGTCTGCTGAGATAAATGACAGGGGACACACCTACGCCCGCCTGACGCTTCTGCTCTCGTAGCTGTTCGACTCTCGTCCTTGGTCGTTTCGGAGGTGCCGTGTCAGACGCATCATTGTGGCCCGAAGTGCGCGAGAGGAGAGTGTAAAGATAGTGCAGCATGTTGGATATAGAAAGAGAGAAGACGTAGATGGAATTGCGGTGGACGAGAGGGAAGACAACGCAAACGAGGAGGACGAAGAACGGAGCGAGCTGTTGAAGAAGCGGGCTGGTAGACACGTACAAAGGAAGATCCGTGAGATAGGATCGAATGAACATCGTTTAGACGACGAGGCCTTGGAGCATGGTAGGCAAGGTCAGAGAAGGTGCGAACAGTTCAAGGCTATGACGGTCTTATTAGACTCAAGCCAAAGCCCGCCTTGGGCGAGTAAGCTGCTGACTTAATGTATAGTAGCAAGCGCTCACGGGCATGCTGTTGCTTTTGTCCTACATTAGGGTTGCTTCTCTCTTACTTTCTGCCTGCTAGGTTTACAGGTCCTCAAAGAAGCATTTCCATGTGCCCTCACACTATACCCATCGACTTCAGGCTTGACAGCATTTGTCTGTTGCTGTGCGCCTATTTCTACTACTACTAACTGCTTGCACTGCCGTCGACCGTGTATTGCCAGCGCTTGCTCAAGTGAGGCTGACGAGATGTACACCACCGATCCTAAACCGTCATGTTGCGTGTACGCGCACCGGGAGAGACAAGTATTCTCGGCGAGCGCTCAGGTTTAGTCGATCATCATCATGATGGCGCCGGC